ATGCCTGATTCCGCACCAGAGGAATACAAGAAACTTGCCGAGCGGTGTTGTGATGCTGATCCTGATAAGCGTCCAGAAAATGCATGGACACTTTGGGATGACATTTGCGACCTTGAGAAGGACAATTCTGACATATGGAATGACGTTTATCATAATGATGTGAAACCCTTATCACGTCTCGAAAAGGAGAGTAAATATTCTAGCAAACTCTTACCTACGGGAGATCTGCCTAAACCGAGAAACAGTTACGATTTTGGCTCAGTTGCAGGTATGGTTACACGTTGGTACAAATAAAATCAATTTACAATATTAACACCGTGCATTTCTTATAATTTAGAGACTCAAACTCTTTTTTGAACAAACTTGTAATTCAACGGGCTTATTTACAGTTATACGAGTATTATTCAAAAGTCCGAATTATACGATGTGCTTCCACGTATGTCAATATGGTTGAGTCAACAAGATGCCGAAATAAAGTCGTTGCCGGGGTAGATAGATCATTTGACTATGTAAGAAAATATGATACATTGTTTATTAAAAAGTAAATTTGAGACTAATGTTTTATGCAATTGGTAATGGGTTTTGATGTAACCGTTTCCTGATAAAATACGTAGCTCGATTCGAAGCATTTCAGCAGCCGGATGATGCGTGCTTCCTGACATTGTTTTCATACCCAAAACAGTTCTTTTCCAAATGGCCCCATGCAGTCGGCCAATAAGGCCTTGATAGACGCGATAGCCACTTCATGACTAGAATGCAGACAAGAATCCTAGAGATGCGATAAAAGCAGATCCCACACCTGCTCGAATCTTCCAATTGAAGAATATCTCTTGTAAGAACTAAGACCTTAGGTCATTCCACGGTATTACGCAAGTGATGAATCATCAATCCCTCAAAGACATATCACCACTCTTTTCATCATATTACCGTATAGCCTTAACGGCATCCAACAACGGAAATAAAATTGCCATACACAAGTGTGCCCACCATATATACCAAGACGGCTTCGTTCATATCAAATAATGTTTGGTAGTCCGAGAATACTGTCTAGTTGTTTCACGATAAGAAGTGGTGCCCATGCACACTTTATTAGTCTTAGCGTGTTTATCACCTTGTATCACCACAACTTTGACCACGTTACCATGCATGGGTAAGTTCATTCACATCGTAAATCGATGAGACTTTATCCATTCTCTGTGTGTGCAAGGAATTTCTCGAGGAGTCAAAAAACTTTCCTGTCGTCCATTCATATAAGAAGTATCTCGTCAAAGATGACAACGATGAAGGCCATTCAAATACAGAATGTTGGAGGAGTTGAGGTACTCCAATATACTGACGTTCCCCGCCCGACTGTATCGCCAAATACAGTATTGGTCAAGAATCATGCAATTGGAGTTAATTTCATAGATATATACCAAAGGTAGTTTATTATATATGCCTTAAAAACAATGGGAGATTCTTCGATTAACAAGAATACTGCATTAATGTTTGTCCACAAGGACGGGCGTATATACACTGTCATTGCCCGCCATTCTGGGTAGAGAAGGTGCGGGAGTTGTCGAGCAAATAGGTGAAGGTGTAGAAAATATTGCAGCTGGAGATCGAGTCGCTTATATGGGACCTTCAAGCTATGCGGAATATACGGTGGCGAGTGCGAACCATGTATATAAACTACCTGAAAATGTGGATTTCAAACTAGGAGCTGCGGCGTTACTTCAAGTGAGTACAGGCTGTGTAAAATGTATCCCCACAACTTTTTAATATATGGACGATAATCGCACAGGGATTGACGGCTTGGACCTTAGTAACACAAGCCTATGCTATTAAGAAAGGGGATTGGGTTCTTATTCACGCAGCAGCTGGAGGTACTGGATTGCTCCTGACCCAAATTGCAAAGCATTTGGGAGCCAATGTTATAGGTACGGTGTCCACACCGGAAAAGGCTGAGCAAGCTTCTCGAGCAGGAGCCGACCATGTGATAAATTATACTACTTCTGACGTGCTTTCGGGGGTAAAAGCCCTAACGTCAAACGAAGGAGTTAATGTGGCCTATGATGGCGTCGGGAAAGACACCTTTGATACGTCACTTGCTTCACTTAGACGGCTTGGGTGGATGGTTTCCTTTGGAAATGCGTCTGGAGTCGTTCCTCCGTTTAGTCTACTGCGTCTGTCTGAAAAGAACGTGACGTTGGTAAGGCCTACTTTATTCAATTATATTGCTACAAGGGAAGAGTTTAACAAATATTGTGAGGAATTCTTTGCATTGCTTGTGGCACAGAAAGTGGATATTAAAATCCATAAAACGTACAAATTAAGTGATGTAAAACAAGCACATTCGGATCTGGAGGGGCGCAAAACATCTGGAAAATTAGTTTTGGAACCATAAGAATTTTTCCCTCATAAAGTAATAATAATAAGTTAGCGTTATTTCCAATAAATAGGGCTTTTACGTGCATATTTAATTGACTTACTCGAGCAAAAAAGAAATCGCGTTGACGGATATTAATTGCCCATCAGCTTGGGTCTGCAAGTTGCTTATCTGGTCTGGGCCTTGGAGAAATTGAAGACATTTCTTGCTGTCTAATATTAGCCTTTCCGTGACATGATGTTTTGCTAAAGAAATATTAGTATGTCTTCTTAAACCTACCGCCTGTAAGAAAATATATTTCAGACATCGTAGCGATTAGGTATGGTGCTGGGTTAGAGTAGAGAACAGCTGAACGACTGTTGTCTGTGTTTCAATTATTTCAAACATCAAGAACTCAGTTGAGTTACATGTTTTAACAGTCCGGCACAAATTGTCTAAAAAGAATTCAAGTTAACAAACACAGAATTATTGTGTCACGCGCGCGGTACGTGACCGTGTGGCTTAGCGACCAAAGTGACGTATAAATTTTTTACGCGTTTTCACTTCATTCTCCAAGCTTCCTTAATTACACAAAGTTCAATCTATTCGTCACAATGAAGCAGCATTACTCTGTGAACTATTTCTCCCGAGTAACGCCATTGGACTGGAGATTATCGCACTTTTTACATTACACAGAAAAAATGCGACCAAAGGAATTGTCAAAGCAAGAAGTAGAAGCTGATTTCATAGGAGGATTGCAGGATGTTTTAGCAAAGGAGTCCAAAAAAAGAGTGAAAATCTTTAAGACCCGAGCCGAATTGAACACTTCTGACATCACTGCGCCACGAAACCTTGCTGGCGCAAAAATATTTATTGCCAGAGACCTCTTAGGAAAGAAGAAAACAAGGGTGGGTTGTTTTGAAAATGCAATGGGAATAGGAACTTTCCACATGGTGCGGGGGACTCCATACACCTGTCGAAACCAGATTAAATTCTCTCTACTGGTGGGCCGAGTCACCAGCATTTCTCTAAGAACAAAGAAGCCACATATCCATTGCTGTATGGCGATGTTGGTTGCTTCTGCTGGCAGGTCCTACATGTGGCGTCAGTTCCATTCTCCACAAGGAGTGTCGTATGCGTGCTGGTTTCCGTGCACCCATCTATGATTCAGTCATAGGATTGTATGATATTTCACATGGGTACCACCGAGCCAGGGACAGCTCTTTGGGAACGCGCTAAAGAGCAAGGGAGCGTGCATATCCACTCTCTACGTCTTATGCCACATATGACAATCACTCTTTGTTTGCAAACTTTGTTTATATGCTATAAGTTTTTTATTTGTGTTTACATGTTTCTAATCATGTCATAATTTTCTTCACTATCAAGCGCGAGATTTCTCAAGTTGATGGTTATTGGCAACGAATCCAAGCAAGATCAGCAGTTGGTATTGCAAAAAGTCATTATAAACTTCAGAAAATTTCCAAAAAGACAGTAAATATGCTTTGTGAAAGGACGTCCAAAAAGGTATATTCTTTACTCACAACCTGCTCATCGAAACATCAACTAATTCTTTGGCTTACCTGACTTGTTGACTTATTCATTCAGCGTGCGAGAGAAGACGATAACGAAGAATTTTCAAGTGACGACGAGCTGTCGGAAGCGGAATTATCAGTATCAATTGATGACTCTATTGACGACGTCTTAGATTTGGAGCTTGACACGGACGGCGCGACAATATTTGAAAATGCAGGAACGATAGTAGACAACAAGAATGGCGAAGAGGAAATTAACAGTGAGACTGGCCAATTTGGTCCATTTCCTACAGAATCCAGTCCAATTGATATGTGGATTCTACCATCGGGAAAATCGGCTCGCGATGCAATTCGGACACCACTGTGCGGCGCTCACAAGTATTAGTGCGTAATTCTATCTATTAAGTTTATATTTGACTCTTACTATTATTTTCTGACTTCGATTTTGTATTCCTTGACCAACACTAGTCCGACCAATTTCGGGATTATAAGACTAGGTCAACGAATAGTTCGGCCTAAGATTATATCTCGCGAGGACTGGAGTTGCCTTCAAAGTTCCTTTTCATTCCCTCGAGAAGTAGCGTCTGAGAAGGCTGAAGAGATTCTTATATCGTTGGTGAAGCTTGTAAGTTTTTATCTTATTTAATGGTTAAATGACCAGTCAATAATTCGTTATTTTAACTCAGGAGCTACTCGATGATTTGGCGAAGTTTATTAATAGTATCGATATCACGAGTTTGGATACTCGTAGCAAATTTTTTGTGCAAGTTATAAAAGTATAGTGAGTACTTCTACAACTATTCATAATTTTCATAATTCATAGTCACACTCTGTGCATTTATTGTTAGTATCGACACAGTCTTTACCCCGAAGACAGCTTTACGGAGCACGCGTGCACAGGAATCAACTCTTGGATCATTGCTCCTCCATCCCATCATGAACCTAATTGCCATTTCAATAACATCTGCTGAGTATCATCCGTAAGTGTTGTTTATATCTGCTTGTTGTTTAGCAAGTAACGTTGTGATGTTTGAAATATCTTTGCTTTAAACAGTGGAGAAGTGTATTCACGTGCCAGTGCTGCTCAACGGATTCTACGTCGGCGTCCGAAACCAGAAGAAGATCGTCCGCTAGGACAAAAAGTAGATGGACTGTTTGTCTTGTGGGATGTCGAAGTAGGAGTAGTTGAAATGACAGGAGGTCCGTGGACAGTTGACTTGCCACGATACATAAAGGACCACGTCCGTGGTTTTTGGTGCACAAAAGACTTGATAAACAACATCGCAATGGAGCCTTTATTTGCCTTTGGCGACTACAGAATTATGCGCCAAACACGGTGCTTTTTCGTGCAGACTTATGGTAGGTTTTGGATTCACCAGTCAAAAAGTTGAAAATGGTATGATACATCACTAAATAAATTTTTGCGTTAGGACTCCAAATTGAGATATGGGCTATGGACTCACCAATCAAAGGTGTGTACAGGATGTATCGCCTGGGAACGACTAAGATTCCACTAGCATGGGATAATAAAAATAATTTACTTGAAATGTTACAGTTGTTCTGGGACTTACGAGTAAGATTATGTCACATACATATATGCATGTGTTTGACAAAAAACCACGCTGGCGTAACTGATTCGTTCTGTTTTCGACTATAATATTAAGAGTGGAATATCAGCAACTGCAGACACGTTGATCAAATTGAAAATATCAGCCGGTCTGGCGATGGTTAAGCGTCATGAGGACGCTGAACGTCTCAGTAACTATATCGAGAAGGATATGCAAGGGACGCCAGTGAAACCTGGCGTATCGAAGAAAGCACGAACTATCATCCCTAAGAAAGAATTTTCGTCATCTGAAAATAACTAATATGCGAACTGGCATTCAGCATGGAATGTAGTATACTTGTTGTATATAATTTTCGTCGCCATATAATTTGCATTACATAAATTATATGGCGACGCAAATTATATACAACAAGTATACTTAAATTGCGGTGTTTATAATGGTGCACAATGTAATATTGTAAATTTGCATGCTATTTGATTAAATGTTAGCCCATGGTATGAATCGCGAAATGTATTCTGCCAGAACGCGTCTACCACGAATAGCTTGCTCGGTTCTTATATGTAGTAACGTCATCAACTTTACATTTCTTTGAATAACTACTAAGACCACTTTTCATTATTATTATACAAAAGCAAGTGAGTGTGGTAAAGGGAAATTGTTCAAATATTGGTCGAGAAGTGGCAGTAAAGATGGTTATCTCTGTATTAATAAAATAATGTTAACCAAAACTAGCAGGTAAATCCGCCTCTTAACATGACGGTTTAAAAAATAATTCTTTTTTCTTGGTTCTTGAATAGATTTGGCCAAGGTTTCATAAGTAATTTTTTCTTTATCTGGAGAGTTTGGGTTTAAAAATATAAGCGCAATTTTTCTCATTGAGCTTTCTTCAAAATACTTCTAATAGTACTGTAATTCTTTGGTTCCCATGGTGGATTTAATGTAAATAAGTTTCATATTTATATTTTTATAGATGGAGGTAATCCTATATTAAAATTATTGTAATTCAAGTAAATTATAAATGTCTATCAACTTGAATGTTAATTACATTTTGGCATGATATAACTATAACTTAAAACTGTAAATTTGTATGAGTTACAACTGTGATAATCAAAAATATTATTAGTCAAATTAGTTAACTTTTAGCCACACCAGCCTCTCACTTATGTCACATAATAGAATGTTCACTTTGTCTGGTTTTGTTGCACCATGCCCCAAATAATAAAATACTAAATAAAATAAATAATAAGTAATAAGCAATAAAATTATAATGTGATCACAGTTAACATTAAGTTTGATGCACTCTTTATTCTTTTTTCACCACTCCTACCCGACCCATCTACAATAACTTAAAGCGCGCAACTTATTGCTATCAATTTGACAGCGAAAGCATCTGGAACGCAAGTTTTTGCGGACAGACAAGAGTGGTAGGCATCCTACCAACTAAGAGATGCTGATGTTGGAGACGTTGTCATGTTATGTAAAAGATTTCTAGTTCATGGTTTTTGGTCAGTTCTGCTTTATTAAGTTGAGCTTTTTTACTGACTAGAATCCTGTAGATCGTGTGGGGCAACTGACAAACATTCTTGCTAAGAAGTCCAAAGCCTTCAAAAATAAAATGAGGAGTCTTCTCAAACAACAGTACAGCTAAATATATTATAAACTCCCGTAAAGTGAGACCGCGTATATATCATAATGATATCATTATGCTAGGTAAGTGTAGTGTAAATGAATGTTAAATGTTAATAGTTATTACCATAAATATTGTTAGACAGAATGGTATATCATGACAACTTAGCCGATAAACCAGAAGCGTCCCAATCCACTGAACCAGCCAAGAACATTTTTGTGTTCGCTGAAGTGGAAATAATTAGTAACGGTAAAATCCGTTCTGCAGACGTTCTCGGAAAAAATGATAAATGTTTATTACAACCCTTAACGTTAGGCCAAAGACGCGTAATAAATTAATATTCTACCGTATTATACGGATATCGAATCACTAAAAAGTTACGAGCAAAAATAAAGTAATGCCCAAGTGACGTCAATTATTCACTTTGTTACAACATTCCCTATATGAAATATTGAATCCTTCGTCATCTATGGACAATTTACGTATTAGAAAACTTGTCTTATATTAATATTAATTCTTGTTTGGCTCATGTAGTCGGCAAACACATCCCAACTAGGATCATCTTCATCTTTCTCAAGATAAAAAGGTAGGGTGCCTTCAAGTATACGCGGCACACCTATCAACAACATACGCATATTAACCACAGTCAAATTAAATCAATATTATCCCATCAGTCAAAAAAAAACAAAAACAACAAACTAACCATGAAACGATGACCGACAGGGACCACACATTATAGAAATATCACCACTATGTAAATACATGGCTTTTGGAGGAGAATCCCTTGTTGGGCCACCGATGAGAAATATACATGTATGACCAAAACTAAAAGAATTGGTGAGAAAGTAAATGGTTGATCGCTTAGACCCGAGGAACAATAAATAAACCCAAACTACCATTGCCACCACCTAGAAACCAAACACACCTAAAAGACACCAACGGTGCATCCATATTGACTTCACTTTTATCTACGTGCGCCATAAGATTATCTTTCAATTGGTAATAGTTCACCAATCCTGCCTCAGCTTTCCAGTCGCTTGCTTTGTACTCGTTCACAAATCCTCCATCCGGTATCCCAACTCCTTCGATCGCCTTCACCACTGCATTGGACAATCCGGCAATAATCGAGGGGAACGGAAATCGATGGTCGAAATGGTAGGTTTTCGTGGGCCAGTTATACTGATAGCCGATAGTCATCCAACGTAACTTGCGAATTAGCTTGTCTGGTGGGAGAATGGGGGACGGTGGAGGAGAGGGCTTACGAGTCGATCGAGGTGAAGAGGATGCAGTGGTCGAGATATCAGAAATTGGCAAGTGCAACGAGCTTTCGCTATCAGAGGACATGTTATTACTCGAGGCTGGATATTGGGATAAAGTATCTGAAGCATCAGCATGTGCTTTAATGGGAATTCGACATTCTTCGTTATCAGGGTCTAGTTCCTTTCTGAATATTCGTTCGTGGAGTGACCATAGCCCATCTTTGGGTAGTATATAATGCACATCGAGGTTACCGATGTTAGGGTATTTGGCAAAGTCGCGTAGACAACACTCGATGATTTGTTTTTGGGTACTTGGTGGAAAGGCATTTCGAATAAAGATAAATCCTGATCAGATTTTTTTTTTCCAGCGAATTTTTTTCGTGAGAATATTCTAAAATTATTGTCTTAATATGATTTGACAAGCTACATCGGGAAGAAATGAATATCAATGGTACCTGGAATGCTCTTTAATAAATAGGCTTTCTGGCTTTTCTCAAAAAATAACTTGTTTTCATTTCCAAGATCACAACTCAACTCTATTTCAACAATCTCTCTTCTAATCTCTTCACTACAATTTTCTGCATTATCAAAATCAATGACATTGGTGAAATCAGGCGGAGGACATTTCGATTTGAAATTTCGTTCTGCATCGCGAAAAGCTGTCTTGGTAGCAAATGAGGATTTGTCAAGGCGCGATTGTAGCTGTTTTCGTGCAAGCTTTTCTTGTCTCTTGGATTTGTATTGTTTTGTAGGATTCATGGATTAATTTAGTTAAAAAAATGTGCAACAGACTTTTTTATTAATGTCACGTGTATGTAATATCAATATTCGGGAAAAGGTTCGAGTCTACAGACAAGGAGAAAAAAAAAGTTGCAAGACAAAATGACTTCAGATGTACAGATCAAACTACGAGCATTTGTTGAAATGCTTCTTGCCTACTTGAAGCAAATGAATACTCCGCCAACATTGAAAACTGCAGATGTAGACTATAAAATGGTGAAGGAAGAACTCTCCAAGTTGGGTACTATATTAATGGACAACGCAACGAGGGTAACCCTCTTCATCGTTAGCATCCTCTAGACTGCCTTAACAAGCGTGCTCAATACATTATTTTTACATCACTTTCCATATAGTTTACTATATCCTGTAAACCACCCTGTTCAACGGACGCAGCTCTATTAACAATCGACAACATGGCCAACACATTGTTTCGAATAACTGGCAATGTTGAATCGCTTCCTCTATCTTCGGGTAAGACATTGATATCCGAAGTACGATCTTGTACTGCAGAGATCTTGTTATCATCGGCGGCATTGGCCAATGGCTTCCTGGAAACACCTGTTCAATTGGAAGCGACTCGTCATGGAGGATACTTGGTTTCTACTGGCCTTGTCTGGCAAGCGTGTGAAGTGTTTAAGAAGCTGCCTGGAGATAATAAGGAAGCAGTTACGAAAAAGTGGAGGCATACATGTGAACTTGTGGATGATGCTTTCAAGGAGCTTAGTGAATTGTTACTACAAGAAGGGGAAGAGGAAGAAGAAAAAGAAGAAAGAACTGACGAGACCGATGAGGATGATGAGTGGAGTGCAGCTGAATCAAAGATGACAGAGTCGGAGAAAAAAGTGACAGGATCGTGTATAATATTGGTTAAACTGACAAAAATGTTGTTGAAGAAAACTCTCCAGAGATGTATACAATCTATAGAGATCAATAGTGAGAACAATTTGTGGTTAGATGATATTTTGGAAAAAGGGACAGCTATTGTCACTTGTATTGATGACCTCGGTTGCAATTTGTACCCTCCCCAGAATTATCAGAATGTAATTGCATATGCAAGAGATTTCAGCTTGATGTCAAAAGAACTGATAAAACTTGCAAAACTACATGCAACAGAAGAGCATATGGTGTGGTTTAACACGTGCGAAGAACAGTTTTCAAAGACATTGGATGCAATAATAGCAGAAGCTCGGCCAAGACAATAAACTTGACCATAGTTTGAGATAAGATATTGATATTGGTATTACATTGTCATAGTTTATAGTCACGTGTCACCCAAAGTTTGTCCCATGTACAGACATAAATAATAATTCAATCTCTAAATATAAAGCTTATTTGACAACGGGCCAATATGTATTTAAATGAATTTCTCATCCGAGCCCGACTATTTCCTAATCCATTCGTAATATCTATATTTCAGCTCACCCACAAAGTCATCAAATCCCCTTTCTTCATCACACCTAACGGTTACAAATCCATTCTCCGACATGCTCTCTTCGAACAATTCAACTTCCTTCGAATGTGTAGGTCTCAACGGTATTAACAGATAAAAAACACCGTCCCGTTTCAGATAACGATCAATCACCCTTGGCAACCATTGAGTATGTACAATCTCGTAGACTATATCGGCACCTATAATAATATCAAAAGTCTCGTCAATTGCTTTATCAGCACCTTCGGCAATCTCTTGCCAATCAAGCCGGTGAAGAAGAATCTCAGACTGCAAGGATTGCACAAGTTGAATATTGTAAGCTGCATTAGAGAGAACTTGAGGATGATAGTCGGTCAATACCACCCTTGGGCAACCAAGCGTTGCGCACGCAAGACCAACAAGGCCGGTTCCGGTACCGAGTTCCATTGCCGAGCGAGAACGAAGAGAGGTTAAAGGTATCGAGGAACCGGATGAAATGAGTCTATGAGTACAATAAATGTATTAAGATTGCGCGGATAAAATTATAAACAAGGCAGATACTTGGGTGTGATCTACTTTGCTAAGAGATAGGCAGATCCCCATGTTTTGAAGCCAACATTATCATCAACAAAGGTCGAGTCGCGAATGCGTAGAGTTATCGACGGTGTCGAGTCTAATGGTGTCGCAAAGTGCCACTCCCTAATAATCGCGCCAGTAGCTAAAATAATTGACCAAGAAACAACAAGTGAATTCTAACGTGCTTGACGTCGTTTGCTTGTTTGATACATTTCATTCTTACCAACTTTTCCGCAACAAGCTGCAAGGCACTTTGCAGCCCTCTCTAAAACCTCTTCCCTTTCATTGTCTTCTATCCATTCTAATGAAGATGCAACAACCTTTGTCAACCATTCGACTCCCTCCTTCCTATTTACTGCAGCACTCTCTTTCTCTGTTTCTTCTATGGCTAGTCCCGTGTCCCATAACACTGTTCTTTGCGTTTCGAGAAAACACTGCTCGAGCTTGTTTAAAATTTGACAGAGTTGAGCGAATGATGGCTTATCTCTGCGGAGGACAGGAAAGAATAAATTACACAAAGGGGAGAAAGAAGTAGTAGGCGGTGGTGACAGAGGAGTGGAGGAAATCTGAGGAATTGAGGAGTCGTCCAGCATATCACAGAAAGTGAGAAGTCACAGAAAGTGGACCCGCTAATTTTGGATAATCCAATGCAAATCATACAAGATGTCAAATTCTAATCAGGCCATCCATATCCTGCTAACACAGTCTTTGGCACGTGTTTGACCGGATTTTTTTATATTTTGTAGCGACATTATTACTGATAGTGTCTAACGCACTTTACAATTTTGAAAACGTCACACCGTACATAAGGGAATTTTTCACAAATTCTTTGGATACGTTCATGAAATCGCACTTTCGAGTGTGAGTCATCTCTATAAATGCGGCCAGTATAATTTCCTTTAATAATTTCAAAACCTTCCCATCGCGAGCAATCCATGAATCTCTCCAAATTGCCTAATTGGCTCTCTTTTTACCTGTTGCTGCTCTTCCCACCAGATTTGGTAACATTTTGAGTTACTAAATTTGGTAGGGGCGTTACACACGTATCGGTATATTAGTGTTAACGTTGAGAATGCTCTCTCCGTGGTTGTACTTGAAAACTTATTCAAACAATGTCATTAGATCCAGGGGTTAATAACCCAGCAATTGACAATTTGGTCCAATCCTCCTTGGAAAGTGATATTAGATACTTCAGACTTGAATGGATTCCTTGCTCCGAAATTACCGACATAACGTCAAGTCCAATGGACAACGTCTACTACGCTATTCTCAAGCGAACACGGAGTGATGGTAGAGTTGATGAAACGATGATAATGTTACTATTACTTGAAGAATGTATACCAGCAGTTGTGAGTGAGTTTGCTAGGATATACTCACTTCCAACACACAAGTACAGGAATTATATCAGATATAGACGATATAGACGATATTCCTACTGGCTTAGTCGTCGCAACACATTCATAAGGGGTTTTACCAAATATGACGATAATTATTACATGGTTGCTTGGCGTGACTTTTACCATTGTTACTCTCGATATGGATTCTGCGCTGCATGTGGAATACTCCGATGTAGTCCTGTGTGGTGCATTTG